CAATTATGAACTCTTGGTGTGTTCTTATTTGGTGATTCTCGTGATGCAATGCTATTGTTGGTTCGAGGTCAAGACTATCTGGACTCGTATGTATGATGCTGTTTGATTGTTGAAGTTCGCTATTGCTCATCTTCCTTGCAATTTGGTATCGGAGTTGTGGTACGATTGCGCTTATCTGGCGCTTGTCTTCTGCCTTATGCGGTGCATACATGCGGTCTGCTGGGCGGGTTTGTGGTCTGGACAGTGTGATGAGAACTATCTAATGTGCGATTGATGCTGAGGTGGAACGGCGGACAATGCTGGTTGTGCCGATGCAGTGACTGGTCATCGCAATTGCCATTTGGTCATCTGGTGAGATTATCTCTGTGGTTGGGGGCAGCTAAATGAGGTACGTTGCTCTTAACCTTATCTACTCTCTCCGACACATCTTACCGTGAGGTTGTGTGTTCCTTCTTGAGAGTCCTCTCATTGTGAGGTGTCGAGTGCGCTCAACCTTGAGAGTCGGCAAAGTTCACGTGGAGGATCTGGGTGGAGATGGGCGAAGCTTTCTGAAGGGCCCTTGACGAAGCACTGGGTCACGGTCACCATGCCAACCCACAGGGAGTAGAGCACGCATGCCTAAGCTGCTTGTCCTTTGTTCGGCTTGCTGCACTGTTAGATGGGTACTACTGGGCAGGCCAACCCTACAGGAAAGACAAGCACCCAGCGTCTATAAATAAACACGGGAAGGGGAGCCATTGACTGTGATTGTCGTTCGGCTGTGACGTAAAATAATTCCTGGAGTCACTTGGGGGCGAACGTTAAATTGCCCCTGGATCAGTCAATGGTTGGAAGGCTCGCGCCACGCCGAGGATAAATATACGTGCAAGGCTGGCCGTCTTAGTGGATACTCGGGGCGCAGGGGTGGGCCGGACACACACCTTTAGACACGCATTGCTCTCCAGATTGGTCAGGGACGCTGACGTCGAGTGATACTCAGGGGAACTAAGGGAGGAGTTGATTCCAGGTGACAAGTTCAAGAAAATTCCATGCTGTCCTATACACACAAGTGATTCTATTTTTACGTTTTTGATTAGTTAGATGGACTGCCATTGACATCTGACAGACAACATTAGTTAGGACTGTTTATTGTTCCTGGTGCTTCTGTCTGCGGACTAGTCAAACTAAAAATAGTTTCAGTTGTAGGAATCTGACTTACCTGTTGACCCCAAGTAATATATGTTCCAAAATAGCCACCACTTAATTAATGTACTATGTTGCAGTAGGCATCTAGCATGATCTAGTGTAGACTGTGCACAGCGCTGTAGCCTATGAGCGACGAGGAGGAAACCGGACAGGACGACCGCAGGATCTTGCAATCAGCTAGAGGCCCGATAGCCCACGTGTCTTTAGGTCCGGAGGGTGATAGGAGTCTGTTCCGCCGGCTTAGGGAGAGACAGCAGGAGCAGAGGGGGGCTAGAGCAGCCGAGGCCAGCAGGACTTTAGTTAGCGAGGCCGGTGCTACAGCAGTCATGGCCACTACAGCCATGTCCACTTCTGCGCAGGAGACTTCCCAAGTCGGTAGTTCAGGTGCCGTCGGGTCCACGGTCGCGCAGACCGTGAGTCAGTCCACTCGCATAATGGCAAGCCAGGCAGCGGTGTTGACTACGGAGGATGTCGCCATCCAACAGGCAGCCCTGCAGGAGGCACAACTACAGTGGGCATTAGGAGAGATAAAAGCGGAAAAGGAAAAGATGATCAGAAGAAGAGCCAGGATGCAGCGGAGAGGGGCAGATATAGAGGAGTTAGAATTGATGGACCTGACACATATGGATGCTGATGTGAAGGTAGTAAGGAGGGCCCTGCTAGGCGTTATAGAGATGCAGGAGCACCAAACTACAATCCTTCAGGACATTCAACAGAGCCTAGCCGTTTTGGCAGGCAGTGCGCCGGCTGCACCATCACCAGCCGGGCCTGGTGCCTGGCCCGTGCCGTATCCTCCTTTTTCTATCCCACCGGTGACAGGGGTATCCCCATATGTAGCCCCTTCATCGGTTGCTATCATTTCCCTGGGCATGCCACTGTCAGGAGGGGTAACAGCAGGGAGTAGCGTGCAGGTTTCTGTACATACAGTGTTTACTCAAAGTCCGTTGCAGGTTGCAGTCACCATGCAGCCTGTTGTCTCGCAGCTTGTGCAGCCTCAGGGCACGCAGCCCTAGCAGCTAGCACAGCAACCTGTGTCACCGGGTCCACAGCCCGGAATGGTGCAGGGACCGGGACAGACCCAGTGGGTTCCAAAGACGGCCATTGCCGCTCCCAAACCTTTTACAGGGGACAAGAGAGGCGAAGACCTCGACACATGGTTGAGGTCAGTGCCGGTCTACGTCAGGTGTAAACTCACCTTGACGCACGAAGAAGTGCTTGTGGCTGCTTCCTACCTAGAGGGTAGTGCAGCAAGATGGTTGAGCGGTCTAGTGCAACTTCAGGGATATGGTCATGACTTCCGCGCTTGGGCAGCCACCCAGAAACTGGATGACTTCCTGAAGATGGTGGAGGAGAGGTGGCACGATCCTCAGGAGGCTCAAAGGGCCACTGATGCGATCCTGGCACTGCACACGAGGCAGTTTAAGTCAGTAAGGGAAGCCACTGACGCTGTTGAGCGTTTGATCTGTGTCCCTGGGGTGCACTATGAACCCCAAGTCCTGTTGACTTCGTACCTGAGATGCTTTTCTCATCCTTTCAGGAACCAGTTGGCAAAAGAGGCCAACATCAATATGCACAACTTCCCTTCGTTTAGCAAGGTAGCCCTAGACCTTGAGGCAAAGATAGGGCATGGACAGGCACCCACAACGGATGGAAGAAAGAAGACATTGCCTCCCAACTGGAAGGCGAAGGGTCACATCATGTTTGTCGACAACGATGGTTCAACCTTCGAGTTGGACGGCAACTTCCAGGAGGGAGTAGGTTCAGAGGCGGGCAGCTTAGATGCTTCAGAGGGTGGAGTAGTCGTTGTTGTTGCCCAAAAAGGTAAGGCTCCCGCTAGACGCCGCGGAGGCTCCCGGTCTAGGAGTCAAGTTGACCCAAACGCTCCTCCATGGGAGAAAGCGGGTCTCACTGAGGACGTGTGGAGAGACCGTTACTCACGACAGGCCTGTATTCGTTGTGGTCAATATGGCCACAGCCAATTCAAGTGCCGCAACAAGAAAGTGACAGAAAAGATCCCGCCTACGATGGTGCATGTGTTGGGATCCTCTCATCCCGTTGGTAGCAATGTTGCTAGTACTTCTGGCAGTGCTCCGGGAAACACGTCGGGCCAGTAGGAATTGTAGTTGTTCCTGCTAGGGTCGAGGTGGTGGAGACACCCTCACCATCTCGAGAGATGGCCCAAGCTACTGACTCCAGTGTCGTCCCGCAAATACATTCAGACCCATCGAGCCTCCGTTCGATGAATGTGTCCGAGTCCTTAGAGGAGCTAGAGGTGGAGTGGTCTGGATCAGACCCGCTAGCTTTTTCGACGGCCTTAGTCAAAGCCCCTAAGGGTGAGATGTTCGTCAGCGAGGTTGTCATTGGCAGCCGCAAGGCCGGGGCCTATTATGACACGTGCTCGACGTGGAACTTTATTAGTCGCGCGTGCGTTGAGAGACTGTGCTTACAGGGGCGAGTGCAGCGCCTGAGTCGACCTGTGGAGTCGACCTGTGCCAACAAACAACGCATGGTAGTTAACGACCACCTCCAAGATGTAGAGTGTTGTTTCCCGTATGCGGGAGGGGACTTGAGACATCGTGTCTCGTTCCTAGTAAGCGATGAACTCCCCATGGACATGTTGTTAGGTATGTACAACCTCTCTATGGCACAGCCCCAGTTTGACTGGGACCGAAAAGTGGTCAAACACACTTTGCCAGGTGGAGGGACCGCCAGATTACACAAGTTCAAAGCTAGTAGTCTGATTGAGTCCTACAGGTGCATGTGTGTGGCCGCGTTCTATAATTATTTTAAGCAAAATCAGGAGGAGGGTATGTACTTAGTTTATGTCTCTGCTGCAGGCGAGCCGGTGAAAATGCCGTCGGAGATATAGAGGGAGTAGTTGCTAAGTACCCTGATCTATTTGAAGAGCCAACAGGGGTTGTTGAGAGGGAGGTCGTCCATGCGATAGAGATTATCCCAGGGTCTAGTATTCTGAAGGGTAGGATCTATCGCATGTCTCCAGGCGAGCTTGATGAGCTTCGCCGCCAACTCAAGGAACTCGTAGAGAAGGGTTGGATCCGACCGAGTGTCTCTTCATATGGGTCTCCAGTTTTATTCGTGCCTAAGAAGGAGGGTACTCTTAGGATGTGCATTGATTATATGGGCCTCAATGCCATCACTGTAAAGAACAGAGAGCCCCTACCGCGCATCGACGATCTGGTAGATAGAGTGCAGGGGTGTTGGTAATTCAGCAAGATAGATTTGAAGTCCGGGTACCATCAGATTGCGATCCGGCCCGAGGATCAACACAAAACAGCCTTGCATACCAGGTACGGTCTGTATGAGTTTGTGGTGATGCCTTTCGGCCTTTGTAATGCTCTTGGCAGCTTTCAGCACGCTATGAATCGGATATTCCATGACTACTTGGATAAGTTTGTCATCGTGTACCTCGATGACATACTTATTTTTAGTAAGACTGTCGAGGAGCACGTTGCACATTTGGACAAAGTCCTCAGCCTCCTGCGGCAGCACAAGTTCAAGATCAACGGTGAGAAGTGCGAGTTTGGCCGCACCMGTGTCTTGTACTTGGGTCRTGARATYTCCGCGGAAGGGTTGAAGCCCGATGACGCGAAGGTGGCCAGCATTCGTGATTGGCCACGTCCTCAGTCTGTGACTGAGATGAGATCTTTCTTAGGAATGACAGGCTACTACAGAACTTTTGTAAAGAACTATAGCATAGTGGCCGCTCCTTTGACTGATCTGACCCGCCTTGACACCCCGTGGGAGTGGACAGATGAGTGCGAGGCTGCTTTCAGACATCTGAAGCATGCGTTGACGCACTACGAGGTCTTGAAACTTCGTGATCCTGACAAGCCGTTTATAGGCACCACGGATGCCAACCAATATGGCATTGGCGTCGTGCTCGTGCAGCAGGAGGGGCCAAAGTTGAGGCCAGTCGAGTACATGTCGAAAAAGATGTCGTCTCAGAAGTTGGCAAAGTCCACCTATGAGAAGGAACTCTACGCAGTGTACAAGGCTCTGACCCATTGGAGACACATCTCCTTGGGAGATTCTTCATCCTCAGGATTGACCATCAGACCTTGAGATGGATGAGAACTCAGCCCGCACTATCTGACGCTCTGAAGCGTTGGATCGAAGTCATTGAGCAATATGACTTTGACCCCCAGTATCTCAAAGGGGAGTACAATAAGGTGGCTGATGCCTTGTCGCGTAGACCTGACTTTTCAGGTGCGCTGATTAGTGAGTTCGATCTCACGGACGATGTTACTCGCTCTTTGGTGGATGCCTATCGCGAGGATCAGTTTATGTCTGAGATCATGCGCAGACTTCAGGCAAAGGACAAGAAAACCTCTGCTGAGTTCGAGTTGGTCAATGGCGTGCTGTTCCTTGAGAAGGACGGGAATAAACGACTGTGTGTCTCGAGTAGCGAGTCTTTGCGTAGTTTGTTTTTAGGCGAGTGTCATGATGCCACCGGTCATTTTTGGTATAAAAAGACCGCAGCCAACTTGCTGCAGCGGTTCTGGTGGCCCACGATGATGCGAGATGCTCAGCTGTATGTGGAGACTTGTCAAGTGTGTCAACGAGACAAGCCGCGTACTCAAACTCCTCTTGGGCTTTTGAAGCCCCTTCCTATTCCGGAACGGCTTGGTGAGAGTCTGTCCATGGATTTCATGGATACACTGGTCACCAGCAAGAGTGGGATGCGACACATCTTCGTGATCGTGGATAGATTTAGCAAGTATGCCAGGTTAGTAGCCATGCCAGAAACTTTGGTTTACAGCACGCCATTGACCAAAGTCTCTAACCCAGTTCTCTTTGAACATTCGGATCACGTGATCCACGATCACGAAGAACGGAGTACGTGATCCGAATGTTCAAAGAGAACTGGGTTAGAGACTTTGGTTTACCCAAGTCTATTGTCAGTGACAGAGATGTCAGGTTTACCAGCGAATTGTGGAAGGCCGCTGCTGCAGAACAGGGCACTCAGCTGCAAATGACTTATGGGAATCACCCAGAGGCCAACGGCCAGGCCGAGCAAATGAAGCGCGCGGTACAACACCTGTTGAGGCATTACATCAAGCCCAACCAGGTGGACTGGGATGAGAAGCTTGCTCTCATCGCCAGTCTGTATAACAATGCAGTACACAATGCCACTGGGGTGAGCCCGAACAGTCCACTACTGACTTTCAAGCCTAGACTACCTCTCGACTTTCTCCTACCTTAGAATGAATCAACTGCTGCACCGGGTACGTTAGAGTTTGCCTACAGATATGAACAGAAAATGCAGCAGGTGGTACAGAAGGCACAGGCTGCGATGATAGAGTCCGAAAGTAGAGACCGCCGGCCTTCTACATTTCAGGTTGGGGATAGAGTCTGGGTTAAGTCTTCAGAACTGGGACAGGAGTACGGGATATCCCGCAAACTCATGCCTCAGTACTTTGGACCTTGGGAAGTCTTGGACATCGTTGGGACAGATCCGGATGGGCCATCATATGTTATCCGGATTCCTGGTCATCTTCGTACTTACCCTGTTTTTCACGCCTCCAAGCTGGCACCTTTCAAAGAAACTGACCAGTTCCCATCTCGTCGCTCAATGCTGCCCCCAACCATGGACGGAGAGGTCGACATTGATGATATTGTGGATCACCGAGAGCTGCCAGTATCAAGACCAGCAGGCAGGGGACATCCTCCAAAACCGAAGCTGCAGTACCGCGTTCGGTTCCGACATGACACTGAAACGAAGGAGGACGGATGGTTCACCAGGGAGGAACTGATGCAGACCGCTCCTCAAGTTGTGACTCAATTTGAGAGATCTCTGCAGAAGGGAAAGCGCCCTATGATCAAAGATTAAGCTTCTCAGAGGACTGTTGAAGCTAAGGAGGAGGGAATGTGAGGCCATTGCCTCTAAGAGCCCCACAAGGCCCCATTTTTGCAGCCCGTCGGCTGCCCTAAGTGAAGGCAGGCTCGACGAGGCCCTCAGGGCCCTTTTCTGCCCACCAGGCAACTCAAGGAAATTCGGGCAGTTGCTCAGCGCCAGTTGGTTGAGTGAACCCAGGCCCTGGGCCGCCTGTGTGAATGTATGTGAAGCAGGCCCTGGGCTGGATACGGGTACCGGGTCAAACATAGGCCGAAAGCAGTTGGGCACAAGCAACCACTTCAGGCCCAAGGCCTGTTCCTCTCGTGCTGGAAGCTTCCTGGACTGGACACAGGCAGGCCACTTCGATATAGGGAAGGACCTGCCTCCTCATTCGGCATTCGGGTGCTGGCTGCATGCTGCGCAAGCGCTGCTGCGCTATTTGCTGGCTGGCGCCTATGCTCTCACGGGCGAGCAGGGAAGGAGCACGCAGCCATAGC